CAGCGTACTCGCTGTAGGCGAATGAGTCTGAGAAAGGGTTCGAAGTGGGAAGATACGCAGAGTTCGTGTCACCAGCGTTGGGCCGACGCACAGGCTGTTTGAAGTCATGAATGTCAACACCAGTAGCCTGGGCTCCTGACGAACTGGCAACAGCTGTTTCACTATTCTCGCTTCTGGGTATCAACCTGCCCTCGCCATCGACCAAACTGTCAAACGAGGTCATGGTTCTTCTCACAGGTGATCCGCCTGTGGTCATATTATGTTTCCGGTTCTCCAAAAAGGCTGCACGCTGCATGATTTCTTCCCGTGCTTGTCGACGGCGCCATTCTGCTTCATCGCTTTGGTCTTCAGTCATGGAGATATCATGCAACTCCATGACTCTTCGTTTCTCCTCGGGGCTGATTTCATCTCCCAACTTATGCAAAGCCTCCGATAGCTTGCGTCTTCTTTCCTTGACCCAGCTTCGGACCTGGGGACTCTCGTATGCTGCGATGCCGGCCGCTATGATGACCGACACGCCGATGATGATACCTACAAAAGGTAGAGGCATTTAGTTTGATTCTCGCGAAGCGGGTGACAGTAGTGTTGCTCGCTATGAGGACAGGAAATGAACGCAAATCTGATTATGAGGGTGACGACAACACAACACGTATGATGCGATGTAGAAAGTCTTTTCTTGCTCACCTTTCGCTAGAGGTCCGGACATCGTTCTATCTAGGTTGAAACGATTCCGGGGTAAGGGAGGTATTCCTCGGTTCTGCACGCTTCTAAGACGACGGTGATGAACAGCGTAGTGCAGGCAGAAGTGAGACGAAACCAAAATATCACCGACGTCGACGTCGACGTCGACAAGAGTACAGGGTTGTTTTTCTTTTTTATGACGAGATCAGAGTCACACACACGTCTGGTGGCTAGCTGTTTGTCAGGCTATTTAGTTGTCTGTTCGTCAGTTTGTCCTCTGTCAGATGAAGTCACAGCCTCGTAATATGGTGGTAGCCCGAGGACTAGCTTGGCCCACTGTGGGTTCCCTAAACGGGACAGTCTTTGCCGGTTGCCGAGTAAATTGTGCTTTTGCATAATTACCTTAACGGTGCAAGCTAATTATTAAGGAAACCCCTATGGCGTAATGGCTAACGCGTTTGACTTCTATATAAATTGAAACCATCAAAAGATTCTCGGTTCGAGTCCGGGTAGGGGTGCATTTTTTTGTAGTTTATTTTTTTTTCGTGTTTATATCTCGGCCCTGCGCCATTCAGAGCCGCACGCTGTGTCACTTACTCTGTCGCTATCCAGCGGTTGGCGCGAAGTCGCAGGCATCATGCAAGGACTTGGGGATTTGACCGATCCTATCTAGACTGCCAACTCGACTGTTGGGTTTAGAAGCGGATACATGCTGGTCGTCTTTCTCATCTCAATCCAGCCTGGGAAAGGGACGGTTATTATCTGTCGGAGCAGAGGGTCAGCCAGGAGAGAAAATGTGGGATAATAAACTCACCGAGAGACTGTCGTGCGGATATATAATCGAAGATCTCACCCAGGATATGGCTTCGTTGGCTGGGTAGACAAAGCGTTCCCAGGACGCAGGGCGACAAAGTATGCAGATTAAGCGGCTCTTCAGTCTTCTGACGATCGCAGGGAGCTTACCCCTGAGTCTGGCTTTAGCCGCACCTGGGCCAGGAACTCAGGACGTCTCCTACGAGACAAGTCTTGCACCAAGGGACCTAGTCAAACGACTCAGCATTGAAAAGTGGGCGACAAGATGCTGGGGTTTTGACCTGGCAAACCTCGCCAACTTCAACCCGTTGCACTTGGGGAATGACATCCAGGACTTTTTGACGTCGCTCGTGCCGATCATGAGCTCACCGTGTTTCCCTGTCGCGGCCACGGTTCTCAAGTGCTCTTTCAAGGACGACATTATTCCTTTCCTTTTGGGAGGGAGGCCTGAGTTCCAGAATCCATCAGAAGAAGCAGAGTGTTACTGTGAAGACAAGGACTTTCCAGAGGTAGTTACGAAGTAAGTGTTTTCTTCCCTGCGACCTTTTCACGAGCTAGCACAGATGCTAAGATCGATTGCAATTCACAGGTGCTTCCAGTGCGGCTGTGAAGACGGTAACAGTGGAGGCGATAACATGAACATGACTCCCTGGTCGGACTTGCTCAACCAGACACTCTCAGCCTTCTGCTCAGGGGGCGGAAACGACTTGAACTTGAGCGGTTTGCAGCAGAAGCAGGAAGTCAGCGCAGCGCCCAGCGCAAGCAACGTTGTCATCAGCTCTGGTACCACTGGTCCATCAGGGACACTGTCGACTGGAGCCCCTGAAAGCAGTGGTGGGACACCATCAAGCGATCAACCACAGCCCCAGAAGTCTGGGGAGACTACTCCGGGCTCCTCTGCTGCTTCTTCATCGTTATCTACGCTTGCGGTGAAAGCGATTTGTTCTCTCGTGGCTCTGTCGCTTCTGACGGCACTCATGCTATAATGGCACTACGCACTATATTACTCCGCGCGACCCATTGGTTAGGCAGCTTAATACCCTGTTGTTTGTTGCAAAGCTTAGTTATGCGCTGCCTTTCTTGAACGTAATGATAATATTGGCTTTTACTTTCTAATGATAACAATGATTTCGTCCTCTTTGCAAGAATAGATAGCGAGTGCAGAACGTGTGGTATTGGGTTGAGAAAACCGAGGCTCAGGTGTTCAGGGGCTACAGCCGAGAAGATGGCTCACAACGCGGCGACTCTTTGATCGGAAGCATAGCCACTCAGTGAACCCCTGAAAGAGGACTTGATTGAACAAGAATACTTATGAACGATTTCACACCTTAGTAACCGACCATGTCATCAATAAGTATCGATGCAGTCGCCCTGACATGGGCAAACCGTGGCAAAAGCTTTAGCTGCAAGGAAGAAACCGAACTATGATTGATGCACAGTATACAGCAGATCCAGAAACTCGCAAAGGTATATAGAAAGTGATAGTGTGGGACAGCAAGGGCAAGAAAAAATAGAATAACAAAGA